CTTGCAGAGGGCGTCTTAACAGCTCCAAATAACGCAATTGTGCTCAAGGACATCGCAAATCTTCTATACATGCCTATAACAAAGCGACTACATAAGGCATTTGACGTATGCTCACGCTTATGTCCAGTGCCCATCCTATTCCTCCATTCCCCCGTTGTGCTCGACGTCGCCAATCTCTTTCCCCTGCTATCACACACCCATGCGCGCGCATACGAAGGACGTTGAACACCATGTAGAGGCTCGGTGATGCTGTGCAATACCGTCGTGCAACCCGGATCCGCTCGGCCAGATTGCTGGTAAGTGTTGTAATGCGTTATCCCCGTCATTTCGTAGCATCAAACGTTGCACGTATGGGAAAAATGCTTGGGCAATTGCTCGCCCCACGAAACAATACTGACTGGTGGAAAACACCATCGCGTGTTTCTTCTCGTACAAACAAGCCTAGTTTGGACAGACGGGTCCATCAAGCCTCGTAAACGCCTCGTTCCGCAGTCTGCTCAGTGACGCATGGACGTTTGGAGGCGTGTGTAACGGCTTACACTATCTTCACTAATGACAGACGCCCCGAACGCCAAGTAACCGAACGCCAAGTAACCGAACGCCAAGTAACTGAACGCCATCAAGGTCGTTTGAAACACTGACGGGCCTGGTATTTTCTGCTGCCAGACCCACGCCCCCGGTAACCTGGTTCCGCTAAACAGGCGCCAAGGTACCGAACACCACTACAATCAGCTCCTACGGCCCATGTTGTCATTTCGCTTCGCCACAGACAAGCGGGCACGGCGGGTCGAGATTGCCGCCAAGGAAACAAACCCTCATGCGCCTAAGGCACTATGGTAAAGAAGTGCTCGACACCGAGGGGCGGGTTGGAGTGCATGGGAGCCAGAAAGAGTTAGGGAGCTTGACCGAGGCGCTGAACAGAGGCAAGTGACGAGATACATAAGAAGTCGTGTAGAACGTCCCTGAAGCCTCACCAGCACTTCACTGCCAACCTTCTTTCGCTTCTCCACAGTCTTTCGCTACTTCATTCGTTTCTCAAGGCTAGTCCTTCCATACAATCCTTTTCACTTTCCAGTCCAAGTTCAAAACAACGACAAACAACATCACCAACCCCAATCTCAACCTCAACTCAACATGAAGCTTTCACTCCTCGCCGCTGCTGCCATTGCGCAGATCGCCTCCGCCCACTACTTCTTCGAGCTCCTTGTCATTGATGGCGTTGAGTCCAAGCCTTACGAGTTCGTTCGTGAGAATACTCGTGCTATCAAGTACAACCCCACCAAGTGGAAGAACCCTCTCGACAACATCACCCCTGATGACACCGACTTCCGCTGCAACAAGGGTGCTTTCGCCTCCGCCGGCCGCACCGGCGTCGCTGAGGTTAAGCCTGGAACCAAGCTGGCCATGAAGCTTGGTGTCGGCGCCACCATGAAGCACCCAGGCCCAGGCCACGTCCACATGTCCCTTGCTAAGGGCTCTGTCAAGGAGTACGAGGGTGATGGTGACTGGTTCTTGATCAAGCAAGTTGGTCTCTGCACCAAGGGCGACATCAAGGGTGACGCCTGGTGCACCTGGGACAAGAACAGCATTGAATTCGACATCCCCATCGGCACTCCTCCCGGTGAATACCTCGTCCGCTCCCAGCACGTCGGTGTCCACGGCGCCCACGACGGCCAAGCCGAGTTCTACTACGGCTGCGCCCAGATCAAGGTCACCGGCGACGGTACCGGTGTCCCAGGCCCCATGATCAAGTTCCCCGGTGGCTACAAGAAGACCGATCCCTCGTGGAACTTCAGCGTCTGGGGCGGATACAAGGACTTCCCCTTCCCCTCGCAGACTGTCTGGACCGGCGGCAACAGCGGCGGTGCTCAATCTCCTGCCCAATCCCCCGCTGCCTCTCCTTCTGCCATCGCCTCCAACCCCCAGGCTACTCCCGCTGCTCCTGCTCCCAAGCCCCAGCCTACCAAGCCCGCTACCCCCGTCTCGCAACCCGCCGGTGTCCCCGTTACCCAGCCCAGCAGCGCCCCTGTTGAGCAGGCTCCTTCAGATGACTACCCCGCTGATGGTGGTGATTACCCTGCTGGTGGTGATTACCCCACTGAGGAGGCTCCCAAGCCTACTCCTGCTACCCCATCCCCTGCTACTCCTGCCACCACCAAGCGCCCTTGCGGTAGCAAGAAGACCAGGCGCGGTAGCCGTGCTTTCCGCCAGTCTCTCCGCAAGTAAATGCGGAGATTGCGTTTCTCGAAATTCTTAGAAGGACATGTCGTTTTGATGTTGAGAAACGAATAAAAAAGGGGTGGTTACTTCTGGAATCTGGGAAAAAAACCACGGATGGGTTGGACTACTCTTTGAAGTGTTCTGGCCTGATTCTTCTTTTTGTTTGCATATAAGTATTATACCTTCTTTGGCAGCGGTGCTGCGCTTGTATATATTGGAATACAAAAGCTCATTGACTTTACAACACCTGACTTGATTTTTTTTTTACATGTTTGCACAGAATGAGAAATTTTCTGGGGTTTTTTAATAATTACATTGTTAATATGATCGTGGACCTAAAACGCCCATTTAACCTACCCTTTTTAACTCCTTAAAAAACAATTCCTAGTGACTCAACTAACCAGACTCAGAAACACAACTAAAGAAACATGTTCGTTCTCTCCCCCCTTATTTCTTGTGACTCCTCAGGACCCTCGATGAAGGCGAAGATGGTGAAGATTCCACAGCACCCTGGCTCCTCAGGCTCATGGTAGAAGGCGAAGCACTGAAACCAGCCTGACTCCTCAACTTCGTCGAAGAAGGCGTCGCAGGTGCCGAAATCTCATGTTCAACGCCCTCCATCGCCTCGCCCTCATTCTCTTCCACTGCCTCCATCTCCTCTACCTCCTCCCCATCCTCCTCACTACCATCACCCTCCTTTACATCCTCCATCTCCTCATCCTCATCACTCCCCTCCTCCTCCTCCTCCGCCCGCCTAACCCCCTCCCTCAACTTCCACTCCTTCTCCTTCTCCCCCTTCCCAACCCCCCTCTTCCTCCTCCTCATCTCGACCCCCCTAATCCGCCCTTCCGCAACCCGCACCTCCGCCTCATCCGCCCACGGCCCCGCCTTAATCTCCGCCTTGCTCTTGCCCATCCACCACTGCGCATCATGCACACCCGCGACCGCGCCTTCGCGCATAAAGTCCGGGCGCGGGATGCCGAGCTCGTAGCATTCGTGGGTCGGGGAGGAGGAGATGAGAGTGGCGTTTTTGCGTAAGAGGTGCAGGGCGAGGCGGTGGGTGGCGGATTGCGGGCAGAGGGTGAAGCGCGTGGTTTGGGTTATGGGCAGGTTCCGGGATTGTTGGGTGCGCGTGTAGGATAGGCCGGCGTGGATGCGGCTTATGAGGTCGGTTTGCTCCGAGGCTGAAAGGGAGGAGAGGGTTGGGGGTGAGATTGGGGCTGGGAGTAGGTTTGGAGATGAGGGGGCTGAGGAGAGTGATGAGCTGGTGTTGGAGTCGGAATTTATAAGTTGAGATTCGTCATTGGTGGGGTTTATCACTGAGGCTGGGACTGGGAATAGGTTTGGAGATGAGGGGCCTGAGGAGACTGACGAGCTGGCGTCGGAGTCCGAGTATATAGGTTGAGATTCTTCCTTGGTGGAATCTGTCGGTGGAGGTGAAGGAAGACGAAGCCTGCCGGGCTCGGGTGAAGTTTCGTCATCTGGCTGTGGACGCATGCTTAGTGGGGAGGGCATTAGTAGCTCCTCAGGTTGAGTTGGAGTGAGGTGCGTCTCAAGTGCGAGAGAGAGTAGCCCGTCGGCCGCGTCACGGTCATCAAGCCCGTAGTCCATGGCCGTGGTTTTGCCAGGTGGTTTCTCGGATCAATGGGGTATCGTACTGTGATGAAAGAAGGTGATTTGGTTGTAGTTGTGGGGATTGCATTTGGGAGTGATATGATGGTGTTGATATAGGAGGGGGAGAGAGGTAAACAACGTACTTTGTGTACTGTAGTCGAGCACCGTTGTGAAAAAAGCGTTTGCTTTCACTATGTAAATACCTAAAAGCAGTCTAGCGTTTGAAGTGAAACGGACTATCCAAGCTTCAAGCACATACATAGTTTGTTTATGTGACTGATGGGAGGACTAGGCAGGATATGTTCAGAGTTCCTATTATCTGTGACTTAACGCAGTCGAAATCAGTGGACAATTCGACAGTCTTGTCCGATGGATGTGAGGATACAATCAGCACAAGTTATTCCCTATCCGGGATAGCGTTATATGCTTGAGCACTCATCTCCAACTTGCTGGTTATTCGAAGAGATCTTTTGATCTTCGAAATAATAGCTTCTAGCGTCCTTCCCAATAGGTAGAAAAGCACCGTGTGTTGGGATTAAGATAGACTCCATCTTCAAACCGCATAACTGTTATTCATAATTTCTGTTAATCTGGGACCGCTTCAAAGCGATATTCTGAAGTTTCCCCTCTACATGTTAGCACACTTGGACTCGAGATTTATACCAGCCTTATAGCGCCGTTGCTGATCTCGCGTAAAGCCTTGTCTCTTACTCAACATAACTTATCTTTTTGATCTAAACGACTATGATATATTCCGCACCAAACGCTTCTGAAACACCCGCGTAGCTGCAATGCTGTAGGGCGTTTGTTGTAGACGGAAGGTAACGTTCAGAAATTATTTGCTACAAGGTATCGCTAGACAAGGCTTGCCACGTCTATGCAACACAAATATCACTCTGCTATCTAAAACGAATTAGTTTTGTGCACTGAGATTCCGCATTAAAAGAGTTCTGGTAAGTGGTCAATCTGCTGCATGGTTACACCTACATAGCAGTGGGTCTTATCAATAAAATGTGGCGCAGCACAACACGTTGCATTGCAGCTGTTTAACCGCAGCAAGGCTACCCTCAGCCTAGACACTAGCAACTCTGCTGCCTACATGATGCCGTTCTCCTCTCTAGTATCTCTTCATTTGCACTTTTTTTTTCCAGCAATCTTGTCCAAGTATGGATCCACTCAGCATCACAGCCAGCATAATTGCAGTGCTCCAGCTCTCCGCGAAGGTCCTTGGATACCTCAATGACGTTAGGGATGCGCCCAAAGATCGGGCCAAGTGCGCGATTGAGGCCTCGAGCGTGCACAATCTCCTTACTAGTCTGAGGTTCCTCCTTGAGGAGGAAAACGCTAATGTGCCGTGGTACAAGGCTGTCTGTGACCTTGGAGTTCAGAATGGACCGCTCGACCAGTTTAGGCAAGCGCTGGAAACCCTGCAGAGTAAGATAACAGACGGGGGTCGATTGAAGAAGGTCGTCGAAGCGCTAGTATGGAAGTTCAAGAGGGAGGAGATTGCTAGCATACTAGATCAAATAGAGGCAGGAAAAGTAGGCGACACTATCGATGTACACCCGCTAGGAGGAAGGCAGGAAACACCAGGGCCAGATATCCAGATTCAGAACGAG